TATTTCTGGATGTTTAGCTGGAGGCACTAATGGCCTCTTTCTTTGTGTTCCCCGTACCTAGCAGGCTTCTGGTAGATGCATGTGCTGGGTGTCTGTGGAACTGGATGTGTAACTGAGTCAGGGAGGAGTCCCTTCATTTAGGGCACTGAAAGAAAACTAGAGGCTTCACTCCGGGTCCCATGACTATTCTGAAGAACTAGTTTAATTTAAAATCTGCTTCGCTTTAACACTGCATAGGTGTGCTTTTCATTTGGGAGGGGAAAGGCAGTTTGCATTTTGGTTCCTCTGATCATTTTAAGAACTTAATGCCCATGGGCCAGGGAGATAGCTCAGTAGAATAAACGCTTGCCTGGCAAGTGCAGGGTCCTGAGTTCAATCCCTGGTACCACAAAAAACAAAAACAAACAAAAAATGACCTAATGCCAAATAGTTAGTGTATTTGCATTTCTTCTCTCTTAATAATTTTTTGTTTTGGTATCAGGACCTGTGCTTGCCAGGCAGGCGCCTATGGTGTTGAGCTGTATCCTCCGTACTCTTAATGTTACTTTACCATGGTCTTTCATCATGATTGGAGTTGAGCTTCACTCCCAACCCCTAACCTGGTTCTGTTTTTGTCACGTTCTTTGTTAATCGAGTCCCTCCCTTCCATGTCCTGCCTCCATGGCCATTATCTCTGGTGAATCTTTTTCTAGATATTTTGGAAGGAAGGCTGTCCTTTTTCTACTGAGAAGGTATATGCGTGCCCTTCATGTGCTGCGTCTGCACATCCGGTCGTCTGGTGCTCTGTGTCTAGTTTTGCTTTCCGAGAGGGTGACATAAGGTGGTTGCACAGGGCCTTAGCAGAACCAAAACCTGCTCCCTCTTTAGGAGATGCCTGTTCCTTATTGTTCTTCGCACTTTATTCTGCTTCTGTTTACACCCCAGGAATTTTTAACGGAAGCCCTGCCAGTTGGTCTGATTGGAATGAACTGTGTTTTGATGAAGCAGTATATTGAGTTTGTGGCTGACAGGTTACTTGTGGAACTTGGATTCTCAAAGGTAAGGGATCTGGTTTTTTTTTTTTTTTTTTTGGCAGAACTGAGGATTGAACTCAGGCCCTTGCACTTGCCAGGGAAGTGCTTATTCCACTGAGCCATCTCCCTGGCCCCAGGTGTGAGTTTTTGAAACAAAGTCTTGCTAGATAGCCCACTCTGGCCTTGAACTCCATGTTCCTGCCTCAGTCTCCCTGGTAATAGGATTATGAGCACGAGCCACTGCACCTGCTTAATGGGATGGCTTAGTACATGGCTTCCTATGGCCCTGCTCTTTCCTTCAATGTTTTCATGGGTCATTCACGACGCAGCATGTGTGAGCTCCTCTTCCCTTTCTGTGGCCAAGAAGCATCCCGTTGTACAGGTGGGCCAAGTCCCTCGTGCTCACTCCTCAGCTGTAGACAGGTGCATTGTTTCTGCTTGTGGCCATGATGAGTCATGCTGCGGTGCACAGTCCTTGTAAGCCTTGCGTGACCTGTTTTCTTGTTGCTTGAGTACTTACTAAGGGAAGGGGTGCCCTTGCTGGACCTGTGCAGACTCCACGCTTAGTCACGAAGTTCATGCGGGTTCCAGGTTTTGCACTCTCCCCCCCGACAGAAGTCCTGGCTTTGTGGGGCAGTGGCCCCGTGTGTGGGAAGTGGTGGTCCCTGGTAGAGGGTGGCCTTGAGCCTCCCTACATGTTCATTGACCTGTGTGTGTCTTCTCTGGAGAAATATCTGTGTGTCTGCTCAGTTCCTCGCCCCTTCACACAGTGGGCTGAATGGATTCTACCTGTCTTGCGGGCTGCTCCTGCGGGCTCCACACACATGCGAGCTGCCTTTCCTATTGCCACACCCTGAGATTGGCCACATCTCTGCCAAGCTGTCCTGGCTCTGCTTCCAGAGTTCAGGTTTCTCTTGATGTTGGTGACATCAAGTACTAGGACAGCATTTGTCTATCTCTGAGCTTGGTGTCCTGCTGTCAGTATGCTGATGATTCTCTCATGACTCAAGACACTTACTCAGGGGCCTGCTAGCAAGCCATGAAGGATGAAGGATGCTCTTACAGACCGTTGGAGCTCTTGGCCTGTGAACTTACTTTCCTTGGGTATTTGAGCTGCTGTTTCCTGAAAGAATCCTTTTCTTTCTGAAGTCTCTTAGAACAGCAGAGCTAGTCGCATAGTTTCTTCAGAAGGTTGGTGATTGACCTCAGCCATCTGAAAGTTTGTCAGGTGTGAGTGCTGACTGGGTCAGCTTGGGTGCCCCAGACCTCGGGGGATGAGGTAGTGTGTGTGACGGGGCAAGCCCTGAGAGAGCTGGGCGCACGCACGTGGGTGTACGTCTGTGTGTGTGTGTATTTTTGTCATTTTTGCCCATCTTAGGAAATATAATTTGATGTCTTCAGAATATCTTGTAACATTTCTTTTCTTTTTCAGGTTTTTCAGGCAGAAAATCCCTTTGATTTTATGGAGAACATTTCTTTAGAAGGGAAAACAAATTTCTTTGAGAAACGAGTTTCAGAGTACCAGCGTTTTGCAGTTATGGCAGAAACCACAGATAATGTCTTCACTTTGGATGCAGATTTTTAAGCCTTTGCCTTATAAATCTGTCATCAATAAATAACAGTCTATTTTTCTCTGCTTAAAAACAAACGAGATATTTCCTTCAAGGGAATACAAGTTTGAGTGAAAGGAAATCTACAACTGCATTCTAATCAAGATGGCTTTATGCAAATAACTCTAATGTTCCTGTGTAAGAGTGTGATCTAAATGCTCTGTTCTTTTTTTCTTGGCCTTGGAATGTAGGGTGGCAGTACGTAAGACCATGGGGTGAAAGGCCAGCTGGGGGTTGGAAGCTCTGGCTTTACTCCTTTATGTAAACTCTTGGCAAGTGGGTTTGTCTGCGCAGACATCACTGGACTCGCCCTTGCGATGGGCAGAGGGCAAGCTCTCTGTTCGTGGAGTGATGTGGGGACTGGGGCGCACAAGTAGTTGCTTTGTCGTTGCTGGACCGTCTGGGTCCCCTTGCTGATCATTACCGATGGGGTTCATTGCCGTAATGTTGACAGAACTTGCCCTCCTCCCCTCAAAGTAATTGTGCTTCATAAACGTCCTAAGACCTCTGTTCATATTTGGTGGAGAATACAAGGATAAAAAGGTAACTTGTTGGATTTTCTCCTGGAAGGTTTAGATCAGCACAAACTGGCTGTATTAGCATTTCTCACAGACCTGCTCAGTGCTGTTAGTCCCTTGGGGTTTTCTGTGAAAGAAAAGGGGTGTGGTGGCCCAGTGAGCTTGTGTGCCTTGTCTAGTCCACCCTCCTAGGAATGCACCGTGGGTGCCTCACAGCCTGAAACTGCAGGATTGGAACTCCTTACTCCTTTGGCATCTTCTAGATGCACACAGAGATTGCAACATCTCACACGCTCTGTGTCTCAGAACATAGATGGGAAAAAGCTGGCCTGAAGCTATTTATCCATATAGAAAATGGTCTAAGAATGGGAAAATGGGGCAGGATTTATGGAGCCATTTCAAGTTTGCACTGAGCTGTGTCAGGTGCCTGAGACCAACTGTGTGAGCCTTTGGCTGTTGTGAGGAAGTGCCCATTAGTGACACAGCACATGGTCAGAGTCCATTGCCATGTGTGGACAGAGTGACACCGGAGCAGGTGTCTGGACTGCTGCTCCCTTCCTCTTTGGAAGGGCCATGCTATCAGGGTATTCAGCCACGGCAAAATGTGTTTTATACAACTGGGGGCTAAAATCTAGAGATTTTCTTGCTAAGTTTGTTTCACTTGTCCTACAGGTGCCCAATTTGTCCAAACTGGGAGCTCTAATGCGAAAGTAGCAAGTCAGGTCATCTATTTGTTCAGTGTGGCATACAGAAACTCAACGGCTTGGCCAAGGTTTTAGGCCCTCTCCCTGTGTTATCATTGGTTTTTTTTTTTTTTTTAAGAGTTCGTCACATCTCTTAAGTTTAATTTTTGCCATCCATCTTGATTTATTTTTGCCTGTTTCCTTTGTTAGCCCAAGTTATCATAGAGTTACTGTGTATGACACTTTAGAGACTCAAAGTATCCTAGAAAAACATTTGAACCATAGTCAGGTATTACGTTCAAAAGTATCACCCGCTGCCATTTGAAAAGTCCTTAAACCCGAAGTTGATGGCATCAGGAAGGAAGAACCAAAGACCTATGGCGCCGTTCCCCTTTGTTTTGAGCCTATCTTTCTCATAGGTAAATAATAGGTACCTTAAAGTAAAACTTATTTATAGTAGCAATGAACATGACTGTACTGGAGGAAGAAGCTGTAATACTGAAGCACTGGGTTATTATGCATGGGTTTATTTTATTCACTGTTCTGTGCTTCCATGTTGTACTTTTATTTCTTAGGTTCAGTACTTTTGAGTTTTAGTTCTTAAAGCATCAAGATGTTATAAAATCTTTTTAATATATCTTACAGGTAAAGAAAAAAATTAAGAGTATATTTATAACTTTCCTCTTTGTACTACATAAATATTTACATCATTGCTGTTGACAGTCAAGAGTATTATTTGGGAATGTAGCACCTTGTAGTTCCACGGCACACAGCCTGGGTCATGTTTCACTGCACCATGAAGAACCAGAGCCTCGAAGGAATGGGGCGGCAGTGCAGATCGCCCAGTGTTCTGTTGTCCATTTAGACACAGCAGCTACCAGTTATTCTTACCGTGTAAGTTGACCCAGCTGTGTCTTGCTGTGCAGAAATTTTTTCAGTTGTCTCATTTTGGAATATCCAGATTATTCTATTTTGACCACTTAACTTCATTTGTGTATGAAAAAAGTGATCGCTAAAAACCGTAGTCATTTGCATATTTAAAAAATAACGTTCAGAATTTTTCATTTTATGTTTAACTATGTTAACACTGTAAGGAATTGCCATATTTCCTTGATGGGGTCAATGGCTAGCAATTGAGAAAGGGTTCTCAGGAATGAAGAAAGCTGCTGATGGCCACAGGACACGGGGTCCCTCTCTGAGCGGAGCCTGTGGCCTGGTGGCTGATTCAGCAGCTCTTTCTCACCCTGCCCTGTAAAGCTTTGCCCTTTCACAAGGGTGAGCTGATGTCCCTGAGGACTTGGAGAAAGGATTCAATTATTTCAGTCTGGGGCTTCATTCTCCTCAGCATATGACTAGGGCAGGGTGTGCCTATAATCCCAGCTACTCTGAAGGCTGAGGCAGGAGGGCTGCAAATTTGGGGTAATCCTGGGTAACTTAGTAAGACTCTGTCTCAAAAGACTAAAGGGGCTGGTGGTGGAGCTCTGGGATGATTGCTTGTCTCTCATGTGCAAGGCTCTGGCTTCTATTCCTGGTATAGTTTTAAGAGAAAAGGACATAAAACTGTAAGCCTAGATTTTTTTGTACAGTTTAGTAAATTCACAGTATTCTTACCTTATGTGTTTGTTTTACAGAATTGTTTTGATTTTTCTAAATGTCTGGTAAGCAAGATTATTTAATGTCTATTGTGTATATAAAGCTTTATTGGATGTGGTATACTTAAATTATTATTTTTCGTAAAATAAACCAATTCTACGTGTACCCAGTTTATGTTTTTGAGGGAAAGTTGTAATAAGCTTTTATGTGTTGCTTGAAATAAACTGCGAGAGGCCCACCGCGTTGTGTGTGTTGGTGTCTCCCTTCCCCTGCCCTCCCTGCCATCTTTGTCAGCTCTTGCTGCACTCAGCCTGTTCTTGGACTCGCGAGCTCAGGTGATGCGCCCAGCTAGCCCCCAGGGCCATGAGGCTGTGCGCGCGAGGCGCCCCGCCGGCAGCGCTGTGTGCGCATGCGCAGGGCGGGGGGGGGCTCCCAGCCTGCTCCGCGCCTGCGTCCACACAGCACGGCGCTTTCCCTCCACCCGCTCTTGGGCGTCGCCGCGAGAGGCGGGAAGCAGCCTCGACTGAGGCAGCGACTGTGGAGCAGCCGAAGCAGACACGGCGAAGGTGGGGAGTGCGGGACGGGCGACCCGACCGGGCCCGGGTTTGCTCGCGAGGGCTGGGTCCGCCTCGATGGCAGTGTGGGGTGGACAAGGCTGCGGGAGGCCGGGCCAGGCTCAGGGAGGACCGGGTGCGAGGCCCGCAGGGGTCCCCGGGGGCGCCCTCCGGAGCCTCGAGGGGGCAGGCGAGGCCAGGCGCAGGGCCCGGCGCAAGCCGGACGTTGGGTGGAGGAGCCACCGCCCTACCGGGAGATGGCTGCCTGGTGTCCCTGGACCCCAGCGGACTTGTGCATGGCCTCGTGGTGCGGCATGGCTGTGGGCATCTTGCAGCCGCTCTCACAGCCGATCTGCCTCCACGTTGGAGAGTTTACCATCCGAGGATGGGGCAGGATGCCCTTTAGGGCCTTACTGAGTTCTCTGAGGAATGGCCAGGGCGTTGGCTACCTTCCCCGTGTTTCCGCATCACGATCTTGGCATTCAGGCTCTGTATCTGGAAAGTCTACATTTCAGTAAAGGAAGCTAAATGGGGTAAAACGTACGATGGGCAGGGTGACCTCACCACGCCGCTGCAGACCTTTCCTCGCCCACTGCCTTGATGAGAAATTGTCTGGATCTTGCCAGTGAGGGGCCTGAGTCGGAAGTGAACTCTTGCCCAGGGCCACCAGCTAGCGGGTGTGAGGGGCATGAGCCCAGTCAGGTGCCCTGGTTCTAAATCCCCTGGATTTCAGGGGGGCTCTAATCCCCCTCTGACCCACGCACCCTCCCTCATACGCAGCTCCGCCAGTCCCCGAGTTCTGCCCCGTGGCATGCAGGGAAGGGCTATCGCATCACTTCCTGGGCAGGGGTGAGCGTAATCTGCAGAAGACGTGAGAACTGCAGAGCGGTACATAAGTGTTTGCTGATCACATTTGGAAACTGAACCTTCGAAAAGTAAAACGTGATCCAGTATCAGAGGGTTAAGTACGGCAGGTACCGAGGGGCCTCAGGTATGTTCTGCTAGCGTGCAGTAGGACAGATTCTGGGAGTCTCAGTGTTTAAGGCCCCCTGTCTCATGGGTTAAGAGCAGAGAACCGGAAGTTAGGGTGGTAACCTGCGTGGTGGCCATACAGTGAGTTGTTCGCTTTAATTTGTACAAATTGCAGGCCACAGAGGCCTCCCCTGCCATCTGTAGATGTGGAGCAGGGAGACATCTGAGGATTCACACTGCCCTCATGTCCAGCCAGCTGCAGGTGACATCAAAGGACATCAGCCTTTGTGTCTCCGAATGAACAGATTAGGACAAATCAACTGAAACATCTATGCATAGGAAAATTCAGCTCTCATCTGTAAGGACCCAAGCTTGTCTTTGCCACAGGGTGTGACAGAGGACCTTTGTTCCCTTTCCAGATCTCCCCAGTCCCTGCCTCCCCTGATACCTGTGACCATCTTGGCACATGGTGCCCAAGTTGTGATGGATCCCTTCCAGGCAGGGACTGTGCCGTTTATGTTTGTGTGGCCCCGAGTGCCATGTAGAGGTGCTTAGCACTTACCTGGTGCATGAGTGGGTGACGGTCATAGGAGTTCCATCATGCTGCTTGCTGTCATATCACCGGAATGAGCCGATAGCTGGAAACCACTATTTACAGGGTTTGTGTGACCCATAGGAATCCCCAGCAGGAAGACAATATTCTTCCTTCCCTCCACAAATACTTACTGAGCATCTTCTAAGTGTAAGGTGCTATATGTGAAGTGAAAGTGCTACATGTGTACAACTCACTGTATGTGACAGTGCTGGAGATAAAACCATGAGTCCTGTGGTGGGCTGAATGCACAATAAACAGTTTGCTTTGTTTTCAGAATGTTTTAGTCTGGTGAAGCCAGATTGCTGTACTGGTTCTGATGGGTCCAAGCCTCACACTTGCCCTGGGTCCCTTGCAAGCCACTGGTGTCCTGCATGGAGCCCAGAAAGAGCCAGCCAGGGGCCAGGGAGAGAAGTGGTCTGCTGTCCCTAGGGTGGGGGAGCAGGTAGGAGAGGGACACACTGTGCATGTCCCCTTCTGTAGGCAGCCTCAGCCATGGCCCCAGCTGAGGGCCTCAGCTCCACCTTGGCTTCCTTGATGGCACCTGCTCCTGACGACAGTGGCCATAGCCCGACAAAGGAGGTCTCCTTCCCTGATGTCCTCATGGTGGAGCCCTGGAGCCACTGGCTGCTTGGCTTAGCACTAGCTTTTTCCTTACAAAAAGATAGGTTTTTTTTTTTTTAATTTTTGAGACGGTTTCACTGTGCAGTTCAGGCTGGCCTTGAATTCACTTTGTAGCCCAGGTTGGCCTCAAACTCATGGTGATCCCCCTGCTTCAGCCTTCAGGCATGTGCCACCATACCCAGCAATGGGGAGGTTTAGAAGGAAGGTCCTGCTCCCATCACTCTGTAGACAGCCTTCATGTTAAGTCACGTAAATCAGACCCATGGCTTAAATAGCTTATGTGAGAAATGCAAAGTATAACTCAGTTAAAAGGCAAAGTAAAAGGTAAGTAGTAAGAAATAGGAGATGGCTGTTCTGTAAATGAGCAGAGGACCAAGAGATAGCGGGAGGGGGAAGGGGATGGAAAAAGCATGAAGATTGGGATGCGCATGCACCAGCTCCGCTCAGGGGAGGAGATCACGGTGTCCTGCGAACACATGCCAGTAAAAACACAAATTTCAAAAAAGGGAAAAAAAGAAGGAACAATCACTTTCTCTAATGCTCTTGGATATTGTGCTGGAAATTCTGGCCAGGGAAATTCAGAAAGAAAAAGAACAACCAAGCATCCAGGTTGGAAAAAAAGAGTAAAATTCCTGCTCACTGATAATGGTCTTACAGCTCAATATGAATATGGAACTTGTGCAAAGCAAAGTGTGTGACTACTAATCTACAAGTATCATTTTTCTCTTAAATATATTTGCTTTCAAATCAGTACAGTGAATTCTTTAAATGAAATTTATTCCGTCAGTTGGGTGATTCAAACTTTTCCTTTTTTAAGTTAGCTTTCCCACGGCCCTCAATGGTATAAAACCTGTGCTTTAGAGGAAGCCAGAGGAAGTTGGAATATTAGCTAAATATAGCAGGGAACAAGTCAGCTACTTGACCAAATACACTGCTTAGTGTGCCACCAGTTCCAAGAGGGGTCCTGCTTCTCTAGTGCCACCTTGCCGGTCCTGCTCCCTGGTCCTTCCTGGTCCTTCTTGCCTTCTTTCCCAGGTGGAGTTAGATAGCCCTGCTGTCTGTCACTCCCCAAACCACCCTAACTCTGGATTTCTGGGCTTGGGGAGCTGCTCTGTGGTCTCTTGCAAGTGAATGAGAATGACACATGGAAATTCCCTTGGCGGGGACGGTTCCTGTGTCTGACTTACTTTGGGCAACTGGGCCACTTGGCCATGTGAATGAAGTAGAGAGGAATCTGAGCGGAACAGGGAAGGTGTAGACAGAGTCGCTGGGAGTGGAACCCCAGCCCACTGTGAGCCTCACTCCCCTGGGGGTAATGGCACCCACATCTGCCTGAGTTCCCCACAGTTAGAAGCTCTGACACCTGTGTCCCCAGCCAAGGCAACGCTAGTGCTGGGTGAGTAGGTGGAACTGTGCTGGTCTTGCAGATTCCAGGGGTCAGCAAGAAAGGCAGCTGCTACCCAGGAGGGTACCTGGCAGAGTGTGCAGGGAACCCCGTGGAACACGGGTGTCTTCACATTTCGGGCTTGCAGGTGGTAGGGCTGACCTGCAAGGAATTCTCAGTCTTCAGAGGAGCCCACAAAAGAAAGAGCCAGAGTTAAGCATCTGCCAGACCAGAGAGTACAAATATAGCTGAGGAGAAGACAGGGTTGGGAGGCTGTTTCCTGCCTCTTACCGTGTTTTCCTTACTGTTCTGACCTAGACAGCTGGAGCAGGTAGAGTGCTAGAGAGGAAGCAAGTCGTGCAGCAAATAGCCTGTGTGAAAATCAGGAAGACAACTATAATTGTGAGGTTGTATCCAACTGGCACAACTTTTCTGGATGGTCCAAGTTATTGTCAGCTGTGGCACATTGGTCCTCCAGGGGAAGGAAGATAAGGCTGAGTGGGCACTGGGGTGACACTGTCATCCCCATGGCTACTGTCTTCAGCATGGGATCTGGTGGTCCTCTTTGGTGCAGACTTTGGAGAAATCCAAAAAGACTTGTTTTTTTTTTTTGAGGCAGAGTCTGTGAAGCTCAGGCTGGCCTCAAACTCACAGCAATCTTGCTTCAGCTTCCTGAGGGCTGGGATTACCTGAAAGGAGCTCTAACTGCATGGTTCCTTTGCTGTAGGCAGTCATCTAATATGGCTGATGCCATTATTATTATTATTATTATTATTATTATTTTGGAACTGGGGATTGAACTCAGGACCTTGTGCTTACCAGGCAAGCACTTATTCTACTGAGCTATTGAGCAGCACTGAGAACCAAGAAAGCCCCAGGGCAGTCAAGCTTGGCTAAGAGAAGACCTTCCAAGGCCCCCACATGGTGAATGACAGTGCCCATGGGCCTGCCCCAGCCACCTCCCCAGTCTGATGTGCAGTAGCTGAAGGCAGACTTGGAACAGCCCAACCTTCAGAGACAATGGAAAGAATCACTTGAAAATCAAGCTCTGTGCTTCAGTGCCATGGAATCCGCTTGCAAACCATGTACCTGCAGGCATTACTGAAGGGA